AAAAAAAAAAAACCTAATGTCTATAAGAACACAAGTTACCCTAAAGGGTGGAGGGGGACTTTTATGACCATTTCACAGACCAAACACCTGAATTCAGGGAGATAAGGATAATTCCTCCCGGACTGTAAAATCTGTTCGAACAGGTTCCAATTAGAACCAGTCAGCATGAACCAAAGTGACCTAGAAAGGTCATGGCAGTAGGGACTTAAAAGTGTGATGTCATCTTGCTGTCAGTCAAAAATCAAGAGGTGAACCTGTGTGGGAGTGTCTGGAAACTTCTTTGGGACCCTCAAAAAACTGGAGGGCAGGAGAGGCACTTTGTTCTCTCCTCTCTCACAGAATCCACACTCACCTTTGAAAGTGTACCCCTTTCCCCTTTCCTAACCCTTCTAATAAACATATGACTTACTCTGAGCAACATGTTTGAAATCTTTCTGATTTGATCCAAAGCATTACAGGTTGAAGTGGGGGGCCTTTGCACTGCCTCAGTTTCTGAGAAGGTCCCAGTTCTGTAACATAATCATGAGAAAAACAGATAAATGCCCATTGAAGGACCATCTACAAAATTCTTGACCAGTACTCATCAAAATTCTCAAGGTCATCAAAATCAAGGAAGTCTGAGAGACTGTGACTAAGGAGACATGATAGCCACATACTGTAATGTTTGCTAGCCTGGGTGGGATCCTGGCAAAATAAAAGGACATACAGTAAAAATAAAGGAAATTCTTTTTTTTTTTTTTAACCACTGAGCCATATCCCCAGGTCTTTTTTTATACATATATTTTTAATTTTAGAGACAGGGTCTTGCTAAGTTGCTTAGCGCCTCACTAAGCTACTCAGGCTGGTTTTGAACTCAATATCCTCCTGCCTTAGCCTCCCAAGCCATGGGATTACAGGCCTGTGCCACTGTACCCAGCAAAACAAAGGAAATTTTAATAAAATATAGACTTAAAGGTAATACTATTTAGAAGAAGAAAAGTATACTTTGGCTCACAGTTTCAGAGGGTCAGTTCGTGTCCTTGACTACCTCACTGGCTCTAGGCCCAAGATGAGGCAGAAGGGCTTAATGGTGGAGCACTGCTCTATTCATGATGGCCAGGAAGCAGAGAAGGCACTGCAAGGAAGATGAACCCTTCTACCACATGCTACCAACAACCCACCTCCTCCACCTGGCTACAGTTAGAACCCCAGTTGATCTATTCAAACTGGGATGAACTGAAAAGGTTACAACTCTCACAATTCAGTCATTTCACCTAAGAACATTCCTGCATTAATACTGAGCTTCCGGGGAGACCCCTAATATCCAAACCATAACAGTTGCTGAGGGGCTCACTAAAGTTATTCAGGCTTCCATAGAACTTGTGATCCTTTTGCCTCCAGCCTCCAGAGTCACTGTTATTAGAGTAGTGCACAACCGCCCTGGCTTGGTTCATTAATTATGACAAATGAACCTATAATAGGGGAAATTGAATTGTAGTGTATATGGAAACTCTATGCTATCTTCATAAATTTTCTGTAAATCTAAAATTGTTCTAAAATTTAGAGTTTATTAAAAAAAATTAATCTACCCACAAGCAAATACCCAAAGTTCGGAAAGCAACACAGGTGATTTCAAACCCTATGCTTTTTTCACATATAAAACCCTTCCAGCTTTATCTATAGATCCGTTCTGTCTAAACAAAAAATTCCTTAAGGGCAGGGAAATGCCTTTTTCTTTCTTTTTTGCGCCTGGCACACTATTGACGCTTAGACCAGCAGTTTAAGTTAAATACTCATAAAAAGTCACAGAACCAAAAGAATCTCAGACTTTCAGAACCTCAGAACTTGAGTAGGTTGGATCCCGACCCTCTTCCCGGGTTGGCTCCTTCAAGAAGCCCCAAATCTGCTGTCTAGGCTGTTTTGCAAGAGTCCTGTGCTGCCATCTATCGGTATCTGGGAAGCATCTTGCTACCTTGCTATAAATCTCGGGGTAGGTAGGCGAGAAGAGGACTTAAGGATTAATTAAACTTCAGAACATCTGTAATAGTCACAAACTTCACTCAACACCTGTACAAGGGGGAAAACCCACTTTCTCCAGCAATTTCAGACCCCCATAACCCCGAATTAATACTTATACTTGTAAAACCCACAGATCTCCTTTACCTCAACAGATAAAGATCTGACCCTTAGCTCGCCTGCCAGAAACTAGGTCTGCCCGCACATCGCAGGCTTCAGAAGCCTGAAACTCCACCACCGATTCCCCTATTTTCACAGACCCCGGAAATTTCTTACACTACCATGCACACTGACCTATCCCATTCGGGGAAACGCACTTGCTAACCCAGACATCCCTACAAAAAGTTTCAAATTTCGCATGCTGCTCACGCCAGTAAGAAAGCTCGAGAGAGTCCTAGCAGGTCTCGGAGCCCTCAGGCTTGCGCTTTGTCCCGGGTTCCGGGTCCCCACCCGCGTCTGGGTCGAGTCAGCTAGGGCTTGCAGCCGGCTGACCAAAGCCCCGCCCCTCTAGACCTGTCATCACAGAAGCCGCACGTGGCTGGGGTGGGAACTCAGGCGACCTGCAGCCATCACTTTGTCTCCTTCGTCATCCATTGGGGCCTCTGCCGCCAATCAGAGGCAGCGGATCCGGGCTGGAGCCTGAGCGCCTGGGTGAGGCCAGAGAAAGAAGGGGCGGGCGAAGAATGCCTCAGAGATCGGTGGGGGCTGGTGGTGGAAGGGGTCTGGCGGGGATTCGGCCAGGCTGGACTACTCTGAGAGGGAGGGTCTCGGTGACAGGCGGAGAGACTAAAAGGAGGCGGAATCAGGGTGGGGCCTGGGGAAAGCGGAGGATCCTGGGGAAATGCAAAGAAGACGAGAAGGGGGAGGGACCATGGAGGGCGGGGCCTTGGTTACAGGGGAGGAGCCTGAGGGATTAAAGAAACGAGGAAAGGGGACAAGCCCTGGGAAGGTGGGAGCTGGGACAAGGGAGAGGGTGGGCCGGCCTGTTGTGGGGGCGGAGCTCTGGCCAAAGTGGCGAGGTTTGCAGGCCGAGGCTGCAGCTAGAGCTGCTCAATTACTGCCCCAATCTATTACCTTCCTCAAGTGCAACGGGACCCACGGAACTACAGGTGTGGGGCGGGGTACGCGAGAAAGAAGAGTCAAGGACGAGGGTGCGCTTGGCCAGACAGGAGGTGGGCGGGGGGGCACCGTTAGGGATGAAGAGAATCTGGAGATTGCTATGGGGGTTGGATGCGGAGTTAGGGGAGCAGTTAAGGCAAGGAGGCATTATCCAGGGACCCATGCGGGGGAAGGGCGAGAGTGCTTTGTGGAGGTGGGAAGCACAACGTTAGGGGGCGGGGTCGCTGTCTGATGTGGAGAGTTAGTGGGGATACATGAGGGGGAGGGGATTTGGAAGACCTTTAGGGGAAGAGGACTGGTGATGGAGAAGGACTGGTGGTCCAGAGTGTGGAAGGGTCTGAGGGGGCTATGTGGAGGAAGAGGGGGATGCGCCTGGGAGCACTGTGTGAGGAGAAGGGTTGTAGACCCAGTGGAGACGGGAGAACCACGACAGGAGAACCACTGGTACTTTTAGAAAGCAACAGTCTAAGGCATTGTAGGGACTTCAGGAAGACACTTGTGTTTTGTGTTCTAGGGGTGAGGGTGATGGATTTAGTTGGGGTTGAAGAAACTAGTTTGTAGTGCTCCTGGCTGCTCAATTCCTATCTTATGGCCTGGGCACTAGAGAAGCAGCCAGATCCGGCTGCCACCAGGTCTTATGTGATTGTCTTCTTAGTCTATCTTGGATCTGTGGGGCTGAGACAGGGATTTCTTCCCCTAGCTGATGTCCCCCGGAGACCCTTCCCCCATGGGGTTTCTGTCAACCCCCAACCCTAGTTCCTGTTCCTCCCAGAAGCCTGCCTTGGTCTCTACCCCCCCTCCCCCATTTTGCCCTGCCCTTAAGCTCTTGGGTGTGCTCATTTCCCACTTCCTTCCTCACCCTGGGGCCTGGCCTGGTCCTTGCCCTGCCTGGGACTTTGTACTCCACGACCAGAGACCACAGTAACCAGCAACAAGGTTCAGATCCCATCCCACTACTACCACCAAGGTCTCTGCCAACTGATTTAAAAGTGACTGGTAGCCACATTTTACTGCTTGTCAGTAACTGATTTTCCCCATCCTTGTCCTTCCTCTGGTTGGGGAATCCTAGGGCCCTCAGGAATTCTGGGCTTCTCTGGGAGGGAGGGAAGAAGTAAGGAGTACTGAGGATCTTTGATTTGTCTTTTCAGGGGTAGGCTGCTATTGTAAGCCTAACCTTGGAAGGGATGTGAGGTTCCAGCCTCAGCTAGGGGAGGAAAAGGGAGTGGCTCCCCATACTCTTGGATTGGAAATTGTCAGAAGTAGGACCTCATCCTCTTGATGGGGGGGGGGTTGGGGGAACTCCTCTGCTACCTTATGGGGACTTGAAATAATGCCAGAGGTCTTTTTGCTTCTGCTGGCTGGGAGAGGGTGGGAAAGGGCTGCTTTCCACACCGTGACTGAATGAGTGTGACAGTATTGCTGAAAGGGGCCCTAAGCCAGTCTTCCATACAACCACCCAGTAGCTGAGAGACTGGCTGGGGCGGGGGGCTGCTGAGGCCAGACAAAGCTGTGGGTAGGGTGGGGTAAAGGAGGGCAAACTGAAGCCTTTTGAAGAGGAACTGATTGCTATGGCAACACTGCTTCCCAGACAGTCTCTCAGAGAGGGCGGGCCTAGGGTAGACTCACACCAGCTTCCTCAGGACTGGGGCATTTTGTGTGAGTGGGTGGGGCGTGAAGAGAAAGGGCATCAGTTTGCTGCTGAGGCTGGAGTACACAGCCTTTCTGCTTTGGTGAAAGCTGCAGGGCATTCAGATAACTGGGTTCATCCTCTGAAGTGGACATGAGTGAACAACAGTCATTAGAATTATAAGGCCAGAGTTGTAAAGGCCTTCAGTGGTCATTGTTTATACAAATCCCTCATTTTACAGAGTTGGAAATTTATGGCCAAAGAGACTGATTTCCCAGGTTTCATAGTGAAAGAAAAGGAGTTAGAATCCATATCTGATTATTATTCACCAGCCCTGCACATACTGTTTTTCTTTGCCAATGTTTATTGAATACCTATTAAGTCTCAGGCTCTGAGATGTTGACCCTGAGAATATGACCAATGACAAAAGACAGATAAGCTTGCTGTTCTCGTGGAGCTTCCATCTAATAAAGGAAAAGAAAAATTGGTATATGTTTGTGAGAAAGGACATAGGTCAGTTTGTGATAACCGCTAATTAAAAGGAAAAAAAAAGGCAAGGTAAATTTTAGGACATAAGACCTCTTGATTCTACCATGCCACGTTTCCCAGAGCATACAGAGGCCTAGAATATCTTTGATACTTCTCCATGAGTTATGGTTCCCTGGCCTTTGTAGGGTATATAAGGCCAGGCCAAATGGTAGTGGAAATGAGGTAGAACAAGATAGGTTTGCTAAGGGATTTTTTCCTTTACTACACTGTACTGTATCTCTACCTGTCTTCCCAGTAAGGTTTTACTCTGCAATTTTGGTCAGGGTGTTAAGAATTTCTTTAATTCTATTCCTTAATATTAGGGAACCAGCCAGCAAGGAAGTCAGTCTAGGGGAATTGGGTTCTTTTTCAGGGCTTTCCCCTCATCTGAGGTAAGGAGAAGGGAGCCTAAAAGAACTGACACTTGCTTGCCCCCCTAAGTCTAAAGCAAAAAGAGCAAATAGGGAAGGACAGCTTCTTTTTACTATCTGGCGACAACCTGATGGTCTTGGGTAGCTCACAATAAAGTAGAAACAAGAACTTAAGGCTTTTCGTTGCCTCTCAACTGTAGAATAATGGACTTTACTTCTTTTGGCTTTTATGTTTGCCTCCTACTTCTGTGGATGACAGAGGAATCCAGACTGATTTTACTGATAACCTGCATGACTTCCTGATAAGTTCAGAGGGTGAGCTAGACAGAACTATCCATTTTCTTAGGTTGCTTCTAGAAAAGGTCCTCTAAAAAGTCTTTGAACACCTAATTCTTGCAGCGGTTTCCATCCTGGTCATTTAAAGAATAGGAGGACAGGGTTAGAGATGCTTTTTCTGCTGCCACTTTACTTAGCTAGATCTGGGATAGGGCCTGGGGCCCAGTGACTCAAGGGGAGGATTGGGAGTTTCGAGGGAGCTGTGAGTCATGAGGATAAGCTCCATCACAAGAGTTGGGCTCATTTCCCTAGCTCTGGGCAGAAGCCCTCCTATCCTGCTTCCTAATGTGCTCTGCTCTTTGAATATGGACTTGAGTAAAAAGTGCTGGCAACTGGGATGGGGCACCCTGATCTCGGAATAGGAGTTCAGAGACACGAAGAATAATACCTAGGTTCCTGAAATTAAAATTTATCCTTAAATCAGGAGTCCTTGGACCCCTCTAACAAAGGCAAAGGAACATAAATTAGCTGTAGGAAAAGGATGAATACCATTTCTCAGCACGGTGAAGATTGGGTATTAAATTAGATCTTCTGCTCTGGTATGAAGCTTCCTGGGCTCCAGCAGTCCTGTGGCTTTGAGCTCTGGTTTGGAATGTAGGGAGAGTAGAATGGGAATGGGTATATTTGGGGGTAGGGTCTGGTGTAAGAAGAGCAGGTTGATTTTGGGGGGTTGTTGAATTGCGTATGTGAAAGCGCTGTGACTTTCTGTTAATCAGTCTCAGAACAGGAAGGATGGGGGAGGAGGGTTGAGAAGTGTGAGGCCTGCACCTTTGAAAGGGTTAAATGGCAGGACAGGAGTTGCTTTGGCAGCTGAGGAGTTAAGGAGATGGGCGGGGCGGCCTTGGGTAGGCCTGCCCCCTTGTGGACCAATAGGTGTGCACCTACAGTAGAGGGCGTGACTTACACTTAGGGTCGCAGGGAGGCTGGCCTCCTATAAGCCAATGAGCATGGTTGCTGCTCAGGGGGCGTGGTCTTAGGGGGGCGTGGCGGCAGCGGCGGGGGTGGTGGGGCGCTGGGCGGGGCGGGCGGCCCCATCAGCTGGTAGGAAATGGCCTGTGAGTCAGAGGGGCAGCGGAGTCGGCGGCGCGGAGCCGGGGTGGCCCCGGGGAGGGATCGACGCGGGGAGGGGCGCAACAGCGGCTGGGGGGCTGCGGGCGCGAGGGTCCGCTAGTATTGCACACGAAGCTGATTAGGAAGAGCCTCGCAGAGCAGGGCTCAGCCTGAGCTACCCTTTGTCTGGGTTGGGGGCCCGTGGCAGGGAGGACCGAGGATCGAGGGGTGGGACCGGGACAGGACGGAAGGGCCCGGAGCAGCGCCACCGCAGCGGAGCCAATTTGGGAGCGGGGTGAGTGTGTGCTAAGGGGAAAGAGCAAATCTCCTTAGCCACAGTAGGTTATGGGGCCTGTCCCAGGGTATGGGGAGGAAAGGACCTGGGAGACTAAGCAAGGGGAGGGGAATCGTCCAGAAAAAGGAGTCCAGAAGCTAAGGTGAGTCTGCTTGGCTTAGTTTGGAGGGGTTACTGAGATCTGCTCCCTCTCCTCTCAGTGTGAAGGGCTCTAGGCTGGGGACAGGGGGTTGGTGAGAAAGCAGAGGTTGACCTTTCTACCCACAGTGGTGGTCTGTAAGAACAATCTCCCAAGCTTGTAGAGACAAAATATAAAATAGCCAGCAGTAGTTCTCTTTGCACAGAATGAGGGTGGAAAGCACATAGGTAGGAATTTTCCTTCCTGTCACCCTCCTTAGTCAGAGCAGAAGTGGGTATCTTTAACACTGAAGGGAAGGAAGGGGAGAATTAATCTAGGAGCTCTGCCTATATCAATACCCACCTCTGTCACCTCCCTGGCCTAGCAGGTGTTTGAGGGTACAGATCCCATGGTATTCTGGGACTTGTTTTTTTTCTGTTTTGCTCCCTTGGCATGTTGGGAGCTGTAGTCCTTGCTAGCCACAGCCTGGCCCAGCTGTTTGATGCCAGCTGCTGCCCACCCCACGATGGAGGGTGAGGTTTGGCCTACCCTGCCCTGCCCCCCTGCAGTCCTGCCCCATGAGTCAGCTTGAAGCAATGGTCTAGAGCCAGACTGGCTGGGTGGCAGGAGAGTGAATCTTCCAGCTTCTCGTTGATGGGGCAGGAACTGCAAGGGCTCTGGGGTAATGAGCAGATGCCAGGCATGCTAGGGTCAAGTAGGGCATCATGTCATCACCTGGCTTCCCCAGGGCAAGGGCTCAGGCAGGCAACTGGGAGACATAGGATGTGAGGGTGCTAAGGAAAAGGCCCTTTCTGAACCTGTATGGCTTGGATGAAGAAATGAATGGGTAGAGATCAGAGTGCACATTGTATCCTCTGACAACACTGCCACTGGTGTTCCACCCTTTCCAGCCATCCCACCCACCACAAGGGACCAGAATTTTCTTAGGTATTTCAATTCTAATGAGGACGTGATGAGATGGGAAAGTGTAGGATGCAATGAGAATAATTTGAAAAGGAAAGGTTTTCAATCCCTGAGTGCAAATATCCCTTCTCTCCCCACCTCCCACCTCCCACCCCCCACTTCTATTGTTGCTGATTCTTCCTGTACAATTAATCTCTCTGCTTCTCTCATCAGGAAGTTTTCCCCCTGCACTGTCAGGACTGCTGCCCAAATCTCTGGGGCTAGCATTCCACTTTTTGAGTTTGTCATGTGCTTTCCTCTGTGTTTGGAGATGAGTAAGATAGTGGGGCATAGACATGTCTTCAGAAATCCTGTGGCTGGTCTAGAAGATGCTCATATTTACATGAGGTAGTGACACTCCCATAGGTGAGGTCTCAGATGAGGAAGATATGGTCTGGGGTAAAGAACAGACTTTCTGTTGTACTTTATTTATTTTAGAGTGCTGGAAACTGAACCCAAGGCCTCATGCATAGTAGGCAAGTGCTATATCTCTGAGCTACATGCCCAGACCCAGAGCTGATTTTTTGGAAGGGTTGGCATTTGAAGGAGGAAGAATATGGCTAGGATAGGCATACAAAGGGCCCACCTTGAAGGAGAAAGGGCATTGTAGGTGGCAGGCAGCAAAAGCCCAAGGGAGAAAGCTGACCCTGGGGGCTTTCAGCTTGACAGTTTCTTTACCCTAGTATAGGCACCTGAGTGTACACTAGTCCATGGAGATAATCATGCACTCTGGCAGAAAAGCAGTGGTTTGGGTATAGGTGTTTTTGGGTATGTGAACCCTGGGGGAGGGGCATGGAGATACTTCTAGTTGCTTCCAGCTGACTGCCTGCTGCTGCCTTATCTCTAGGTCACAGAGCCTAGGGGGAGGGGCAGGCCCTGGGAAGTGTCTTCTGTTGTCCCTTCCTCCCCTGCCACTTGTTTTTGATTGGATTTGTTGTCTCTTGTTAAAAAGAGATTGCTGGGGGAGATTGGGAGTTCAAGGCTATAGGGCTGGCTTTGAGCTGACCTGAGGTTTGTGACTCTGAGAAGAGTGTAATGGGGTGTGACAGTCTACAAGAACTCTGCCCTTAGCACTGTGGGGTGCCACTTGTCCTTTTTGATATAGACATATGGGAAAGAGTTGTGCAATTCCACAGCCTTGAGTAAGAGAGCTGAATTATTTCTCTGCCCACCCCCTAGCTGACATGATCTCTTGGATCTTGAGGGTATTTCATCCCCCCTCCAATTCAGGGCAGGAGTCCCCAAGATGGTGGCCCTGACAAATAGTTCATTTTGCCTCATTTCTTAACATCCTTTTTACATTGAACCAAGACCTACCTTTCTGTGACTCCTCAGGTAGCTCAGCTCTACAGCCTGGGTACTGGATCTGGAGCTTACTTCTGAAGTGCTCATGGTGTGGGAGAATGGTATCCTGGAGTATACTCTATTAGTCCACAATCAGGGAGGGCCCTTACTACTGACTCCACAGATCCTGGTTTATGTCTGTTCTTTCATCAGGGTCCAGCTGAACCCAGGAGCTGCCCGGAATGGTGGCAGTCACCTTGCCAGTGCAGCAGGCATGGACCAGACTGCAAGCTAGGGGAACAAGGCATCAGTCTGGAAGAGGGGACACACATCTAGGCTTGAGGCCCCTTCATCGGGGTAAGTGGGAGTGGAGAGCAGGTGCAGTAAGAAACTTGAGCTAAATAATGTCATCCTCTCAGAAGTTCTAAGAGTGGCCTCTGTATTCCATTAATCCATCTGGGGATTTGGATACCTTCATCCCCAGGAATTTCTCAAAGTCACTTCTTCAGGTTAAGGGAAGGTCTGAAACTCGGCTGGAAGGAGAAGACTCATTAATTTCCCTTATCTTTTCTTCTCTTCTCTTGCACAGATGTCCCCAGGCCCCCCAACCCAGGCCCAGCATAAAGGCCGTGTGGGGGGGCCCCCCTGACCCAAGGGGAGCTTCATGCGCCACGTGCAGGCGGAGCCGTCTCCATCCTCAGAGCCAGAGGCTGGCCCTTCACAGCCTCCAGTCAGACAGGGGACCCTCCAGGGTGGCCTGCTCATGGGCTACAGCCCAGCAGGGGGGGCAGCATCCCCCGGGGTCTACCAGGTATCCATCTTTTCCCCTCCAGCTGGTGCCTCTGAGCCTCACAGGGCTCTGAAGCGGCCGGCCCCACCTACTGAGGGTCCCCGGGAGCTGAAGAGAGGCCCTGGGCTGGGGGCCAGAGAGGGATTACCCCCTGAAGAACCATCTACTGTGGGGCTATTGGCCCCAGAGGGACTGGGTCTGGGACTGGGTGTGGCCAGCCAGCATTTCTCCCATCATGGCCTCTGTGTTGTGGAACAGGGAGGTAATGCCACCTCACCTTGGACTTCAGGGGCCCGAAGACCCCCCTGGCTCCCATCAAATGCTTCCTGCAATACTTTGCACACCAGAGACTGGGCTTCCCCAGATCCAGGGGGACAGGGGTCCCTGGGGGAGTCTCCAGGGCCAGCCCCTTCAGGCCAGCTGCACACACTTGACACTGATTTGCACAGTCTTGCACAAATAGGGGGTAAGAGCCCAGTGGCTGGGGTGGGCAACGGGGGAAGCCCCTGGCCTAGGGAGTCCCCTGGCACTGCCAATGGGCACAGTCCCGAGCACACACCCCCTGGCCCTGGACCTCCAGGCCCCTGCCCTACCAAGCGAAGGCTGCTTCCCGCTGGAGAAGCCCTGGATGTCAGCTCTGAGGATGAGGGGCCAGCCCCTCGGAGGCGCCGGGGAACCCTGGGCCACCCTCCTGCTGCCAACTGTTCTGATGCCAAAGCCACACCCTTCTGGAGCCACCTGCTGCCCGGGCCCAAGGAGCCTGTTTTGGTAAGCCCGTAGAGGAGCTCATCTACTCCTAAGAGGATATTTGTGTGATTAATGGTGGAGGCCTGTGAAGATGTTCCTCTAGAGCTTGTGATGAGCTCCTCTCCACCACTTTTCTCAATGTTTTCTCTCAATAGGACTCAAGAGACTGCAGTCCCGTGGGGCGGAGGCTGAAAGGTGCCCGTCGCCTGAAGCTGTAAGTGACCAGCTTCTCCCTCTACCCTATCTGTGAGAGTTGGCACAAAAGTCTGTATTCTTCTTTCTATCACTAGAGTAGGGGACCCCAGAGCAGGAACCACTTGATAGTGGCAAAGGGTGGAGCCGAAGGATATGAGCAGGAATCCCAGAATTCCTCAAGCCAACCCATTGTGTCCCCTCCCCTACCAGGAGCTCCCTTCGAAGCCTCCGGAAGGGACCAGGCCTGCTGAGCCCCCTCAGTGCCTCCCCTGTTCCTACCCCTGCTGTCAGCCGTACCCTGCTGGGCAACTTTGAGGTAGCTCCCCCTGGGCTTTGTGATTGGGGGGTCCTGGGAGGAGAGGGATAGTGGAATGTGGCTTGGATGGATAAGGAAAATAATGGCATCTGTCTCATAATGTGTTTTCTCCACTCTAACACCAGGAATCATTGTTGCGAGGACGCTTTGCACCATCTGGCCACATTGAGGGCTTCACAGCAGAGATTGGAGCTAGTGGGTCCTACTGTCCCCAGCATGTCACGCTGCCTGTCACTGTCACCTTCTTTGATGTTTCTGAGCAAAATGCCCCGGCCCCCTTCCTGGTATGACTTGACCTCACACCAAAGTTAGCACTTCAGAAGGAGGAGGGATTGGGGACTGGGGCAGGGGCCCAAAGGTATTCCTTAGATGTTCTTCACCTAAAAGTAAGTCAGGGCTAGTGTGGCAGCGAGTCCAGAATGAGATTTTGGAGAGACTGGTATTCAGGGCTTTCCTGGTCCCCAATTTGGTTGATGGCTTTTTGGTTTTCCTAGGGTGTCGTGGACCTGAATCCCCTGGGGAGGAAGGGTTACAGCGTGCCCAAGGTGGGCACCATTCAAGTGGTGAGTGTCCTCTGAGGGACTGGGCATGGGGAAAGAAGAAAACAGCCCTTAGGCTATACCAACTTTGAATATCCTGCCCCCAGACCTTATTTAACCCCAACCAGACTGTGGTGAAGATGTTCCTTGTGACCTTTGACTTCTCGGACATGCCTGCTGCCCACATGACCTTCTTGCGCCATCGCCTCTTTTTGGTGCCTGTGGGTGAGGAGGGAAATGCTAGTCCCACCCACCGCCTCCTCTGCTACTTGCTGCACCTCAGGTAAGGACAGGATCCAGGTATCCCTTCCGTGAATAAAAGAATCTTTCCTGGCTTCTCTAGTTCTGGATTCTTACCTTGATCACACTGTCTTTCCCTAGGTTCCGGAGCTCCCGCTCAGGCCGATTAAGCCTACATGGAGATATCCGCCTGCTTTTTTCCCGACGGAGCCTGGAGCTGGACACAGGGCTCCCCTATGAACTGCAGGCCGTAACTGAGGCTCCCCACAATCCACGTTATTCTCCTTTTCCCTGATTGCCAGTGCTCTGAACCTAGGTGGGCCAAAAGCCTGCCCATCCTGCTCCATCCTGGACAGAGTAAACACGTGGAGAAATGGCGAAAACCCCTTAGGATTGAATTAAAGTCCTCACCACGCTCATGCCCAAATTGATTATTTGGGTATTTAAAGCTTCTGATCCTTCCACACCCTGCCCTACTCCGGGTACTCCATGTGCCTGTTCCCTCCCTTGGGTTTCCCAGGCCAGCTTAGGTAGTACAGAGGAACCAGAGCTACCCTGAGATTGTCCCAAGTCCCCAGGCAAGTCATGCCAGCGTTGCCTCCCTGTCCTGGGCAGGGGCCACTTCTTATTTTATTTATTTTTAATTTATAATTTATTCAAATTGGATTGCCTTGGTAACCTCCCAAACCTGATAATTGGCATCATCCTTCCTCCTTTCTCACTCTCAAATATTGCTCCAAACTCAGGAGTTGAAGAGGCTGAAGTGTGGGGGCAGGGAGAAAACTGTTCTTCCTCAGCTGAGGACAGAGGGATTATCCCAGAGGGACTGAGTCACTAGCCAAAGACTCAGCTTCCCCTGTCCTTCCCTGTTACCTTCCCTTCCCCTACCCTTCAATACATCTTTGAAAGCCAACTTATGAGAATGTGTGTGTGTGTGTGTGTGTGTGTGAGGAAGCACAAGCTTGTGTTTGTGATATTTGTGAGAAAAAGAGTGTGCATGCATGCACACACACAGGGGTTAACCACCCCTCACCTGGGGCTCCAGACTCAGTTGTCCCTTTCCTTTTGCCTATATCTCCTTACTTTGGGTCCTGACTGAGGAAGGTGTCCAGGGACAGAGTCAGGGCCAAGGACTGGGATGTCTCCTCTCACCTGGCCAGATTCTGACCCACCTACCTCAGCTGGGATAAGGGGCATCTCTCAAACTCAGTTATGTGGCTCCCAACTACCCTGTTCCCCACTCCAGACTCAGACCCAGCCTCAGCCCTTGACTCCTGGGACATGACTGAGGGGAACAAGCATTTGCTGAAACTTGAAAAAAACAAAAACAAAATGAAACAAACAAACAGGAAAAATTGTACCTGGTACTTTTTTTTTTTTTTTAGGAAAATAAATTTTAAAAATAATAAATTCTTGTTTGGAAACTTGAACTAAGCTCTATTTTTTTTTTTTCTGTTGGAGAGAGGATGTAAAGGGTGATGGAGGGCCTAACTGAAGCTGTGACCCTGCCCTTTCTTCTGGAGTAGAGGAAGCCTGAGCCCATGAAGTCTTGGGCTAAGTCCTGCTGATTCTTGGGGCATGATTTTGCTTTTTTTATTCAGGTAATGAGGGTGCTGGGGGAGAGCTGAATTCTATACTGGTTTTGTTAATGATTTTAGCTCCTCAGAACTTCAGTGCCCTATGAGGATGACAATTATACAGGTTTCTTAAAGGGAGTGCCATAGCATCAGGGATTTGTGCAAGGTGACGTGCTTTAGACGAGGTTGAAGCTTGATGCTGTTTGCTGGACTCTATGGGAGGACCAGGCCTGACAGACTTCTACTGGGAAGAAGTGGAAAGAGCTGTGGTATCTCGGGAAAAGAGGGGAGGGTAAATCTCGGCTCAATCGACGACGAGCAAAGTTAGGCCCTATTACCATGGCAACGGGAATGGGGTCAGTCCCCAGTGGGAGAGCTGGGCACAACACAGCAGGCCTACCACAGAATGTCACTGTGGCAACCATGGCAACGAGTCAGTTCCAATCCAGCAGTCGCTATGGTAACACACGGGCGTGATTATACACTTTAGAGGGTAAATTGGGTATCAGGTAGGGTTAAAGAACTCGGTAGTAGGTGTTTCTGGGTCACTTGCGAGAGGAAAATAGACTCCATTTGGGCCAAGATGCTTCGGATTTTGGACGCCAACTACCAGAACCAGAACAAACCAGCCTCCGGCCCTCTGCGTTTCCCCGGGAACAATTTAAACACGCTCTTCCAAGGAACTCCGATTGAGTGAGTGTGGAGTGGGGGAAGAGGCGGCGGAAGTACATCCGGGGGAGTGGAACTGCTGAAGGAAAGCCTCCGGTGAGGGCTTCTGGCCCGGCCTCTCTGCTCCGCGTCTCGTTGGTTCCGGAGGTCGCCGCGGCTGTGGGAAATGCTGGCGCGCGCGGCGCGGGGCAGTGGAGCCCTTTTGCTGAGGGTGAGAATGAGACAACCTTCTCCAGAGGGTCGGGACAGAGATCACCTGGGTCCTCATCTAGGAAGGAGAGGGTTTCCAATTTTGGGAGAGGACTGGGGTCAGAGGTCATGGGCCCCACGTGAGTCATTCTCCGAGGACCCTTGTGAGTCGAGGTTTAGGGCGATGCCTTCAGGACAGAGGGGCATGGTGCTGGGCCAGCGGGGGTCTCAGCTTACTCTTGTCTTTCCTTCAGAGCGCTGTGCAGGCTTCTGCCCCTCCGCGCCGCGCCTCCTCAGGATTGCCCCGAAACACAGTAGTACTGTTTGTGCCGCAGCAGGAGGCCTGGGTGGTGGAGCGAATGGGCCGATTCCACCGGATCTTGGAGCCAGTGAGAACCTTTTGCGCACCTCGGGGCAGCCTGATGCTTGGATCCCTTGAATGTGGGAGTGATGCCTCCTTGGGGCCTGTCTGCACCTTTGGCTCTGAACTCTTCGGACCAATCCTAGCAGGGCCCAGGCTACTGACGTGCATCCCATGTTAACCACCTTTTCCTATTACCCTAGCTACTACCTACCCTCTCAGCCCCACCTGTCCGATTAGAGATAGCTATTCTCCTGGCTCCCATTCCCTACCTTTCTCTTCATTCAGAGGCCTAATCGTGCATTCGGGTGCTATTAGGTTACTTTACCACTGACATCCCAGTCTTCTGGGGACACCTCTTGGCAGGGGCTACTGCACATGTTTACTCCCTACTTACTCCAGTCCTAGCTTAAATTCCAACTGCATTACCCCCATCCTTCTGAGGATCCATGACTCCTCTTCCCAGGGCTTGAACATCCTCATCCCTGTGTTAGACCGGATCCGATATGTGCAGAGTCTCAAGGAAATTGTCATCAACGTGCCTGAGCAGTCGGCTGTGACTCTTGGTGAGGGTACAGGGTGACACGGGTGCACTGAGATCATTAGGATGTGGTTGCTACATAGATCCAGAGCTTAGGAGAAAGAGCTGACTGGGACCTAGGGCTGTGACCTTCATTTTCTCTCCTGCTTCTATTCCTGCAGACAATGTAACTCTGCAGATTGATGGAGTCCTTTACCTACGCATCATGGACCCTTACAAGGTATTTGCCTCCTGCTTTATCCAGCCTTCTGAATTGCCCTCCTCCCTAAAATCCTGTACCAAAGCTTTTTACACTTTTCATTCTCCTTTAGGCAAGTTATGGTGTGGAGGACCCTGAGTATGCTGTCACCCAGCTAGCTCAGACGACCATGAGATCAGAGCTTGGCAAACTTTCTCTGGACAAAGTCTTCCGGGTACGTGGATCTGAAGCAAAGTTGGGGTTTGAAGCATGTGCTTGGCAGCTTGGCACTGTCAGTCCTTTCTGGGAAACAAGATCAGACCCAGGCCCTTATTATCTTAGCTCCCTGGTAGGTAGGTTAAAGCTGTGGAGCTTACATCTTTTTCCCTCTAGGAGCGGGAGTCCCTAAATGCCAACATTGTGGATGCCATCAACCAGGCTGCTGACTGCTGGGGCATCCGTTGCCTCCGTTATGAGATCAAGGATATCCATGTGCCACCTCGGGTGAAAGAGTCCATGCAGATGCAGGTAGGGAAGAGGACCTTGGTAATCCAGTCCCAGAGGGACTTAGAGTATCTTCCTTACTGGCATGAGTATAGTTGGAGGTCTTAGTAAGGGTTTCCCCTGGTTTGTTGATAAGGGTTGCTGGGGGCTTCCAGGTGGAGGCAGAGCGGAGGAAACGGGCCACAGTTCTAGAGTCTGAAGGAACCCGAGAGTCGGCCATCAATGTGGCAGAGGGAAAGAAACAGGCTCAGATCCTGGCCTCTGAAGCAGAAAAGGCTGAACAAATAAATCAGGCAGCAGGTGAGCAGAGGGTAGAGGCTGAGGAATGAGGAGGGCATGGGTCTTTGAGAGTTGGTACTGGGACAGGAACTTTGGGGTACTCTGATTTTATGGGTTAAGCTCACTATCTTTTCTTCCAGGAGAAGCTAGTGCAGTTCTGGCCAAGGCCAAGGCTAAGGCTGAAGCTATTCGCATCCTGGCCGCAGCTTTGACACAACATGTGAGAAATCCTCAGTTAGGAGTGGGGAACAGGAATTGACAATGGAGGGGGTTCTCTCATCCACCATTGAGAGAAGTTCCTGCCATTCGGGGTCCTATTGAGCCAGATTACATATGCATACCCTCTTTCTTGAAACCTCACCTCCTTTTTCTTCCAATATCCCCTTCTCTAAATCTGTGATCCCTGATTTTATTCCCCTGTGGCTATAGAATGGAGATGCAGCAGCTTCACTGACTGTGGCAGAGCAATATGTCAGTGCGTTCTCCAAACTGGCCAAGGACTCCAACACTATCCTACTGCCTTCCAATCCTGGCGATGTTACCAGTATGGTGGCTCAGGTTAGAGCTCTTTGAAGACCCCAGGGGCACAGAACCCCAGTCCTGGGGGCTGAAACCCTCACTATCATCAGCACCACTTAACACATCATGGAGATCTTCAGGTTGCCTTGGCCCTTGATTTCTCTTCATTCCTTATAGAGAAGGAATCTCTAAGAATGAGACACTTTACTCACTTCTGCAGATAAGGAAACTCTCAAGATACCTTTCTGTGGATACCTATGTTAGAGATCTGAGGGTCACCCTGCTCTGATAGTTAGTGAGATTCCTAGAGCTGACTTTAAATCCTTAAAGTCTAAGGGTTGAGGGGAGGGGAGAAAGAAAATCCAAGCTCACTAGTCCCAGCCAAACCTTTTTCCTTTTAGCCATTGGTAGGTTCGGCTATACCTTCCGCCATTTGTCTTTATGGCTTTTTCTCTATCCCTCTTCTTAGGCCATGGGTGTATATGGAGCCCTCACCAAAGCCCCAGTGCCAGGGGCCCAGAATTCGGTTTCCACCAGGAGTGGCAGTGATGTCCAGGGCACGGATGCAAATCTTGATGAAGAACTTGATCGAGTCAAACTGAGTTAGTGGAATTGGCCTTGGCCAGGGAGTCTGGGGACGGAAGCAGCACTATTAGTTTCTGGCTTTAGTCTCCCTGCCAAGATTTTGGGTTTTATTTTTTTAATTTGAACTTATTAATCATGTAATAAACTCACTAGTGGTACACCAGAAACTGTCCTCTTTGATTGGTAATGAAGTTGGGAAACCCACTGTTGTTTTTCACCCTCTAGTCCTGTCAGCTCTTGGGAACTCATGCTTCCATGAGCAAGAATGAACATCATATAAAGTGAAATCTGCCTTTCTGTCTTCAAGAGAAACTGGGCCAGGTGCAGTGGCACACTCCTGTGATCCCAGGAAGTTGGGAGCTGAGGCAGAAGGATCCCAAGTTCAAGGCCAGCCTAGGCAATTTAGACCTTATCTCAAAATAAAGAATAAAAAGGATTGGGGATTTAGCTTGGTGGCAAAGTGCCCTTGGATTCAATCCCCAGTACTGCAAAAAATAGAAAAAGAAACTAGGATAGTATGGAAGGATTAAATCACATGCCTACTGCCAGCTGGGGAGTTAATCTCCCTCCTGCTACATGTAGGGCTATGTGTTTTGAGGCAGGTGTTTAGGGATTTTACACAGGAAAATTGCTCTGACAGGGTAGTACTGCTAAGTGCTTCAAAGGTCTTCAAGGACTGAGGGCAGTTGTAATTCATTTATTCAAAAACATTTAATGAAGTCTACATGTGCCAAGCTCAGTGTTAGATGTGAGTTATAAAAACAACTGCCTTTGATTTCACAGAATCTGAGGTCAGATAGGGAAGACAAACAGACATTGGGAGAAAGCCATAAGTGCTGTGTCGGAGGGGCTGTAATATTAAGTAGAGGATTCCAGGAATCCTCATCTAATGCTATATTTGAACTTAGATATAAAGGAGGGAAGGGAAACAGCCATCTGGGCAT